AGCAATGGGAACAGCGTCACAACGCCTGGGAACTCTGTGCCCCCGCCCCTGCCTCGGTCCCACAGCCTCCCCCACTCGGCTGTCTTGAATGCCGGCAGCAAGAGCAGTGTCATGGACCGGGCCATCGCGTCCGGGGTCAGCAAGTTTGCGACCCTCTCTCTACATGACCGGAAGGAGAGGCACCACGAGAAAGACCACAAGCGGAACCACAGCATGGGGCACATTTTCAGCAAGAGCAGTGACAAACTGAACCTAGTTACGAAAACCAAAACGGACCCCGCCAAAACTCTGGGAACACCCTTGTGTCCTCGGATGGAAGATGTTCCCTTGTTAGAGCCTCTGATCTGTAAAAAGATAGCACACGAGAGACTGACTGTGTTAATTTTTCTTGAAGATTGTATAGTCACTGCTTGTCAGGAGGGATTTATTTGCACATGGGGAAGGCCTGGTAAAGTGGTAAGTTTTAATCCTTAATGCTGCACCAGATCTAGAACTTGAATAGGTAGTGATTTTTTCTCTCGGGAGGGGCGGGGTGTACAATGAATGTGAATGACCCTTCTTACTCTTAATGTAAATCTAAATGCATCAGAGCCATAATTTTGGATACTGCATGCCATGTAATTCTGAATCATTTGATAATTCACCTTAGAGCATTTAAAAACTATATACTCAAACTCCTTGCCAGCCGAGTCAGTCACCCTCCTGGGAGCCCGTAGAGCCTGGGGTAGTGTCCTGTATCTGATCCTGCAGTTTAGGGTGTCATGACCGTGGGGACAGTGGCTTAGAGCGCTAAGCTGAGATCAGTGCTTTCACTGGAATATTCTTCTTAACTACTCGACTAGAATATTGTACACCTGATCAGAGTGTGTTCAGCACAGAAGGCCATTAATTGTCATTTTTAGTCCAGTTTTTTATCTTAATCATAAAATGTTTAGGAATCTATGAAATTTAACTTTAGGAGCAAGCGTTGAGCAGGGTTGATGACATTATTTTTACATTGTTCTGGCAATCCACAGAAAGAGAAGAGCCTTAATTTTTAAAACCCATTTTAGTCATTTTATGACAATTAAAATTGTTTAATAAACATCTTTTTCCAAAGAAGCAGTTTGAGAACTTTGATTGAGACGCTGTGCTCTTGAATCCCCATGCGACCCAGAGCTGGCCGGGGACAGCTGGTGGCAGTGTCGGCAGCGCCTCTGCCCCTACACCGAGACTGGTGTGTCCACGGGCTTGGCTTGTTTTCTTCCCAATCAGGGAAAAGGAGGTTTCGTTTGTTCTGTTGGGATTTTTATCTCTGCTTTTGGGTGGCAGGGTGTGACTACAGTGTGCCCAGGCTCCTGGGCACCTTGCAACTTCGGCCTGGGGTACCAGGCACGGGCTTGCTTTGCTTCTCCATGTGTGACAGAGGTGAGGCGACAGCCCTCGGGATCCTGGCGGTCTGGTGCTCAAGACCATCTGGGCACGCTCCACTGCAGCCTGGCCACACTGCTGCGGCACTGCAGGGCGGGCTTCCTCCTGTGGTCCTCAGACTCTAGCTCTTAGCAGATGAGATGGTTCTTTGAGGCCTCTGTTTTGTATGTAAAGGAAAATTACTTTGTTAACCTAGTTTGAGCATTTAGGGTTGTTTTTCTGTTCTGCACAGCTGTGTGATGAGACATGGAGGTCATGGTCATGGACACTGGTTTGCAAGGTGGCCAGTGAAAGCTGGTAGCTTTGTGCAGTCTCCAGGTGGTGCATGAGCAGCAGCCCTCCTGGGAGCCACCCAGGGCCAGGTCCCACCCCACATCCCCTCCAGCCTCTTAGTGCAGGTGGCTAAGGTGACAGCACAGCCAGTGCCACCTGTGAGCTGAGTGGCACAGCTTCTCCCCTTGTCCCATGTCCATGTCTTCTATACCTCAAAATGCAGCCCCCGTCCCTAAGGGGAGCGGAGCAGAGGTGGCAGAGACGTCCTGGGCCGGGTCAGCTCTGCAGAGGGGTTGGGCGCCAGGCGGAGGGTGAGAAGCAGCCATGCGCAGGCTCACATCCCCGTAGTTGTGGAGACACGGTCAGATGCTTCTGAGGCACTGTGCCTACAGTTTCAGCATCCAGGACTTCGCATGGAGCCTTGGCAGCACCAGGCCCAGGCCCGGCAAGCAGCGTCCCTGGGTCACCTTCCCACTGTCTGGACTGAGGGACCCTGCTGGGGTGGGGAGCAGGGCAGTGTCTTGCCACGTCACAACTCTGCCGGGAGAGCTGCCAGCCACATGGCCACCAGCCACATGGCTGGAGGACCCTGTGCACCCGCTCCCTCCTGCTCTTTCTTTGATGGCCAGGAGAGCACTGAGGTGGGAGGACAGAGCACCAGGGTGCTGCCGCCTGGGAGCGCTGAGGGAAGGGTCCTTTCCCGCCGACCTTGGCCGCCTCGTGGCGATGCTCCAGGTTGTCCGCCCTGGGTGCTGGCTGCCAGGAGCAGGGGTCACATCCTGAGCCAGCTTCGTACTCGCACACAGTTCTCTGCAAGGCGCAGCCATTAGGTGGCTGAGTGGGCCAGGAAGCCCTGTGCCTTCCACGTGCAGGCAACAGCCTGGTGCTGCACAGCCAGCCAGCAGGGCAGCTTCCGAAGTGACTCCAGCAAGCGTGACACCTTGAAAATAGAGGGCAGGGAAGAAGCCAGCCTGGTGAGTCTTGTCCCAAAGACCTCAGGAATGCGGCGGAGCCAGTGTGTGCGGCTTGGCACAGTGCATACCCTGCCCCAGGCAGGAGTCAGCAGCGCCCATCTCTCCCCACACCCTGGGGTCCCCCCTCCAGGTCCCACCACCACCCCTTCTTGTTTTGTTTTGAAACAGTCTCATCAAGCTGCCCAGACTATCCTCAAAATTGGGATCCTCCCGCCTCAGCCAGCTAAGTAGCTGGGATCACCTGTGTGCCATGGAGCCAGCTTGCATCTAGAAAGCAGTTTAAGCATTAAACGCGTGCTGAGATCGGGGAGACCGCACCTGTGGGCCAGGACCCTGTCACCGCCTGCGTGAAGACGCTTCCTCTTGGCGAGCAGCTCAGAGTGTGCAGACGGCAGCCGAGGCCAGGCAGGCAGAGCAGAGTTCCAGGAAGCCGTGGCACGGGCTGTGCGCCTGAGGGTGGCTGCAGGCGTGGCTGATCGGGGCCTCTGAGTGGCGCACGCACGTGGGGCAGGACAGCTGTCCAGGCGGCCTTCCTCAGCCTGGAAGATAACCAGGAGGTGCTGGTCATGGTCGTGAAGGTAACGGTGGTTGCCTGCCATCCTGGGACTCCTCCGGCCCTCGGACCAGTGTGAGGCCTAGGTTAATAAGGTGCTCTTCACCATGCCCAGTGACATTGGGGAGAGGAGACCCCGTGTGCAGGGCAGAACCCTGTACCCCACTGTCACGTGGGATGTGCCTCTCTGCATGTGGCATCATCAGTGTCGAGTTAAGTGTGACAGACAGCTAACTTCTGCATTGTTCATTTCTATACCTGAGTTCATTGTGATTGCTGTTGGGCACGTGTGTAAAACTGTATGCATAATTAGCTTCAGCAAAAGAAAAATAAATGTGCATTTCACGTTGTCACCTAATTTCTTGACAGCCTGAATAAATGTCATAAAGAGCCTTTCTAACATAAATATCAGTAAATTAAGCTTGTAACGTTTGGAATAATAAATGAAGCTTAAATAAAATAAAATAAAATAAAAAAACACCGAGCAATGCTATACAATGTTCATGAACCAACGAGGACAGAAATCTAAAAGCATGCGAGAGAAAATCACTGCAAATATTGGGATGGTATTCCTGCAGCAGCTGGGCGGCAGGAAAAGGAAGAAGGGAAGACCACTCTTGGAGCTAATGTGATATAGCGATCATGTGACTCTGGTAAAATAGGCCCTGAAGCTAGCACTATCTTGTTCTCCACTGCACCTTCAATGGCCAGAATGGAGCCTGGCATACAGAAGGCGCTTAATAAATGTTTTTGAATGAATGGATGATGAACCTGGAGAAATCTAGGGCTCGGATGCAGGCGGCCTTTACATTTTGCTCTATGATTTTGTTTGCAATACTTCATTAGGAACAGAGGAATAAAACCCATACTGCTTAATGAGTTTTGGGAGCCTGTATCTTGTACGATGAGCAATTACTTGGAAGGTAACAATGTGCAATGTAGTGAACACTGTTGCTCTCCTGCAATCTTTTGAAATTTCAAGTCAACAACTTCTGACGTTGCCAGTCCTGCAGATAACCCACTACTATTATAGACTACTGGACTATATCGGATTACTGTGCTGAATTCATGTACCTACAATATTTGAATGGCAAAAAAAATACCCATCTCTGACAAAAGTAAGCAAGAAAGGGGTACATAAATGAAGGACCACTTTGTAGTAAAAAAAAAATACATATGTATATACAAAATAGCTAGGATAGATATGCAGCTACTTTCTCTTGGTTCAATGAGAAGAAAGATTTATACTATTAGTGTTTAGACAAGATATCAGGGCTGGGGAGACAGCTCAGTAGAATAAGTGCTTGCCTGGCAAGCACAAGGGCCTGAGTTCAATCCTCGGTTCCGTAAATAAATAAAAAGACAAGATATCATATTTCCATCTTGCACTGTGAATAACTACTATGAAGACAACAATATGCAATGTATTAATTATTGTAACTGTCTTACTAACCTGTTTTGAAACGGTCTCATTGCCATTTCTTTCTCAATAAAATTAATATAAAAAATAAAAATATAAAATACACATTACGCATTAAAAAAAGAAATTTTGTACCATTGTTTCATTGTTTATTTTCTTTACTTTAAAATTAAATTTTAAGAAAAAGAAGGCTGGGGAGATAGTTTGGTGGTCTAAATGCCTGCCTGGCAAGCACAAGGACCCGGGTTTGATGCCTGGTACCACGTGCCATGCCCATGCCACGCCTAGCTGGCCACGGAGACTGGGCGTGGTGGTACAAGCCTAAAATCCCAGCACTGGGGAGGTTGAGACAAGAGGCTTACTACAAGTCTGAGCTGCGTAGTGAGACCTACGCATAAATAAAGAAAACACATAAATAAAAAAAAGATTTTTTTATAAAGGAAATGAGGGGCTGGCCAGATAGCTCAGCGGATTAAAGAGCCTGTTAAGTAACAGGATCTTGTGCGGAGCATATTTTTCACTAACACGGTACAGGTGCAGAGCACATTGTGGGGGGCTAGGAGTGTAAGCAATGGATGTTGAAGAAATGGGTAACAATGACACCGTATGCTTTTTCCAAGTGTTTTGCATGTACTAGCTACTTACCTGAGATCCTCAACCCTGTTCACAGTGTAGAACCATCTGAGCCTTTGGAAACTCTCCATGTCTGGGCTCTGCAAATGGAAGTGCAGTGACTTCTCCTGCCTGGAGTCCACCCAGACCTGGCTACTCAGATGCCCTGCTTGGTTGAGACCCCTTCCCTGAGATCTGCGCCTTCCTAGGGAGACAATTCATCCTGTCATCGCCTCCGCGTCCCCAGATCCTGTCCATGGCAGGTGATGCAGTAAACATTGGCCCCCCAGACAGAATGGGAGCAAAACTCAATCTGCATCCTGGTAAATTTACACTAGCTTTCAGTGATAGAAACATAAAACATCAATTCAGAATTGACATTGAAGGAGTGTTTCCCCCTCCTTATTAGAATATAAAATAATGGTGCGTCTACTGCTCCTAGCCTCTTACAGGCCGGGAAACACCTCAGCTTGGAACCTTTTGGAAGGTGTGATCCATGCAG